TAAAATCTAAGTGTCGATAGCACCAGGTAAGAAAGCAATATTTTAAAAAAGGTTTCAGTAGAGATTTCCAAGAAAAATATATTTATCAGTTGGGGGTGAAATGCTATACTTGAACAAAACACGTTTCTACTTCTAGCTTTTTCTTTTCTGCGTTACCAAGAGAAAAGGAAGTGGAGCATTACAATAAAATAAAATAGACCACAGGTATGCAAAAGTCCCCAGCATTTTTAGGTTTAACACACCCCTGCTGTGGGAGAACACCAGTTAAACTCTTTCATCCTGTTTAACCTACAAAACCACGTAACTTACTCCAGCATGCCCTTCCACTGCACAGTATGATAGGACAAGTCAATCTCCTTTCACTGTTGGTGCTACAAATACTTTGGCCCAAGGTAACAAAACAGCACAAGACAAAATGTCTCCAAAGCACTCTCAAGAAGGACGCAGGCAGCCTGGGTCTTGTTGCAATCAAGTTGTAAGTCAGACATGTCCAATCTGTGATGTCCACAGCCCACATGCCTGGCATAAACTTTTAGCATTATTATGTAATTTTTAGCATTATTTTTCAAGAGTTGATTGCACGCAGCTTGAGTATGATCTATATGGGTGACAATGGAGTATAATGGAGAAGGCCAATGTCTCTTACCAGAGAAAAATATCCCTCACTTCACAATCATGCCTTATTCTTTTCAGCTTTTTTTTGACAGTGCATACATTTTTGATCAACTGTTTTCAGGGATGAAGTACTGGAAGAGAAAAAACAGATCAAAAATAGCTGATGATCACTTTGAGAGCTCACTAAGAATTGCAGCCATTTTCATCAAACCAGGCACTGATGCATTAGTTTCACAAAAACAGGGTTAAATGTCCCACTAGATTTATGTTTTTGTTGCCCTCTTTTTCATGTTTCAATTTTTAAAAAATATGAAATTATATAGTTTTGTTACTTATATATACCTGCTGTATTACATATTTGATAAGTGGCTCAAGACATTTCCACTTCACTCAGTGGAGCCCAGGCAAGCAAAAAAATTGAACAGCTATGTTATAAGTAAGATAACATTGAAGGAAGTAATTTCCCTGGAGCAATTATCAGTAATAAATGTCCAGAGATAACAGCTTATTTTTAATGTTGCCTTCGGGCTAACTGAGCTTCACTAACCCCACCTTTCCTTGAACTGGTCTCATTTTTTTCAGTGCTTTCCTAATTGCCAATGTCTTCATCACTTTCCCAGGAATTTAGCAAGAAATCATAAAGCCAAATAAGGAACTTTCAGTGAATATAATCTTGACCCCAGAGCATCATAAAATCTAGATTAGTAGACTTGTCACAATATAATCAAACTTCTGAAGGCATTTAGGGTGTGGATCTAATGTGAAACATATTTAGGAAATAAAAACTGTCAACCTATCACATAACAAAGTAAGAGTATCGTGTTAGGGTCTTGCCAGGGCCTCAGATCTTGATAAAAAGACATCCAAGTAAAGCAAGAGTATTTATGACAATAAAGTCATTGTTTAACGATCAGAAGTTGAGAAGAATTATCTGGAGTTTTGTGTGTAACAACTCCTATCCCAAGATACTCTTTTGACAAGCACCTGGAAAATACCTTTATAAGGTGGCTTCAAATATGGCAGCCCAGCTCATGCCAGTTGTTGGCTCTTTCATGTATCTTTGCAGTTGTCTGCACATGAACAGGCCAAGCTGATATCAGCACACTTGGCAATGCAGACAGACTGCTGGTAGCAAGCCAGGTGCCCAGTTCCCAAAGTCAAGAAACCAGCTTCTAAAGCTTTTTGATGATCTCCAGATGAGATTGCTACTGAATGGTAATACTCCCTTCCCCAGAACTTATTGGTAAGGGAGGGAATACTAAATTAACGGCCCAGGGCAATTTTCATTTCAGTTATGCAGAATTTTGAGCCATTTTTTGGTGAAATTTTATGCAACCTTTGGTCTAGAAGAAAGTGCCAATTGAAGGAAAGAACTAACTACTGCCAGCAGGACTTGGGCTACAGCAGGCAGGTCATGGCTGGGTAACCCACATCAAGTTCATGGAGGAGTATTCCCATTTCCCCATAGGGACAGCTTGAGAGATTAGGACTGGAAGGGCAAGGTTTCCTCTTTCCCAAGCTGCAGTAAGTTTGCTTGGTCTCAAACCTTGGAAGGATGGCCAAACAAAGATACTGGAAAGGGCATCTCTACTCAGCACAATCGTAATTTCATCACCTGGAGAGAGACAAAACAATAGGAAGCTACTGGGCAGTCATCTCGTTAGTAATTCACTGTTCCATGAGGGAGCACTTAAGGCTCAGACCTTCAGCAGCACACCTGTGGGGAATGCTTTGTTGTGCTTAAAGAACATTGCTCATAGAGGTCACTAGGACAAATGATCTGGGTAGAATTGAAGTGATAACATGAAAAATTCACTTTCTATTAAGAAATCAGCCTCTGCAGTTGTTCTCACTGTGCCTCAGACTGAGCTGTGTTTCTGCATTTATGCCAAGTAGCTTTTCCTATATCACATATATTTGAGTTTAGCCAGACAAAGGGGAAGAAATAAATTTGAGAGTATAGAACAGGGGATTAAAATGCAGAAGGTTTATATTTTTGTCCCATCGGCCTGTGAAAACATAGAAGATCTTGGCAAAGTAACAATTGAGAAACAGATTGAGGAGTATTAATTCCTCTCAAATGCTTTCCTGAGAAACAGCTTATCTTATTTTAGCCCCAAAGTTGTATCTGTTCAATGCAAATTTCTGTCTTAATCCCTTCAGATGAATGGCTATGTGAAAAATTATTTGCAGAGATAACAAACCCACTGTAATTTAAATGACAGACTACTGGCCTCAAAGGAAAGAAATTCACAGAGATTAAAATTTCCCATTCGAATCCTCACCTCAGCAATCCATCCCGTATTAGTGCTAACAGTGGGGACACAAAAAAAAAAATGAGGCTCATGCCTCTCTCTGAACAAGTCTTTTTTGTGCTTTAGCATTTCTTTCTTCTTTGGATTACAGAAAGAAGCAAAATCTGCACAACCAATGCTTCTCACTGATGGGAGACTATGGCTGTTTCATAAGCAGCACAACCACAGATCTATGTGGCTTTAGAATACTTGCTTGAAAAGTATTATCTTGACTATTTTTCTGCTAAAGACCAGGATCTGTCTACTCTGGTTGGAACATTGGGGTGACAGTCCTAAGGGAAGTCAACACATCTACTCAGTCTGTGAGCCTCAAAAGGAAATTGTTCTCAGCTCCAGTCAGTGTTTGTTGCCAGAACCTGGCTCGCAGCGTGGGGCATCAATTCTGCTGTCCTCTTGAGATCACATTCTTATTCAGCCTGCCCAAGGAGACCTACAGCTTTAATACAGACCAGTGGCAATTCCAAATTTCACTCTCCTAAGGGCTGTGTGAAATAAAGCATACAGTGAAATGATGGTGGTTTGGATGAGATGTTGTACCCGTTTGCAAGCAGAGTTTATCTTCAATGTTTAAAATTGATTTATATTTTATTTGCCGTTTTTCCTACACTTCAGAAATAGTAATGAGACCCCCCCAAAGGACTAATTTAATATAGTTATGTGAACAAAGCATCTGCTTCGCATCTCCTAGCAAATGAGATTAAAGCCTTTTGCAGAGTGGATTGCATTAACCTTTCTAATTATTTTTCTCCTGAGAAAGCACTTCCAGAGTTCTCCTGATTAAACACATTTCACTCTTTAAGCATATTTACCACCAATAATTAAAGTCAAAATGGAGCACGCACATGCACACACACACTCCTGTGAAACAAGCAGCCAACTGCATGATTATGATTGCTAGAGAATCTCATAGCTCCACACAGCCCTGGTGCTGCACCTGGCTGTGCTGATAACAAATCCCACCCAGCGCAATATGGGTGCTAGCTACAGATTAATCAAATCAACCAAACCCCTTGTAGTTAAGTCCTGACACACGGAATGCCTTCTCATTAAAATATATATATCCTGAGTTTGTGTTAAAAGCAATTGCTTGATGTGCTCCGGAGGACACTGTCCAATGTGGTATGGGATCAGTGCTATCCACTAAAATGACCTCAGCAACATCCATGAGATTTTTAAAAGCCTAAAAATAGAATGTGTGTTCTCTCCTCTTTCTTCCTCTACCTTAAACTGCACACACTCCGTTTCATGTACTCCACAGAGCAGCCAGGGGAAGGAATTGGTGTGTACCTAAGAAAACATCTGTGTGCTGATATGGAGCCCTCAGTGCAGGAGAGATGTGGATTTGCTGGAGCGCATGCAGAAGAGGGCCACAAAAATGATCTCAGGGATGAAACACATCTCCTACAAGCACAGGCTGAGAGAGCTGGGGCTGTTCAGCCTGGACAACAGAAGGCTCCAGGGAGACCTGACAGCAACCTTTCAGTATCTGAAACGGGGCTGTAAGAAAGGAGGGCACAGATTCTTTAGCAGGGTCTGTGGTGATAGGACAAGAGAAAATGGTTTCAAGCTATAAGAGGGGAGATTTAGGTTGAATATAAGGAAGAAGTATTTTACAATAAGACTGATGAGACACTGGAACAGGTTGCCCAAAGATGTGGTGGATGTCCTGTCCCTGGAGACACCCAAGGTCAGCCTGGATGGGGCTGTGAACAACCTGATCTACCTGTGGGTGTCCCTGTTCACTGCAGGGGAGTTGGACTGGATGGATTTTAAAACTCCCTTCCAATTCAAATGATTCTGTGATTCTATGAAATATACTGGAACATACATTGGGACTTTGGCATGTTCCCAAAAGAAGGATTAACTGTAGCAAGAGTGCAGCAGCCACTCACTTTGAAGTGATACGGAAACCAGAGACAACCAAAGAGAACAGCTCACTTTTCCTTTGCCTCTGTCAGTGCCATTCACTTACCTCTTGCATTTGCAGTTCAAACACACAAAGGAAAAATGCTTTCACAATGACCACTCAGTTGAACTGAGAAATAACAGAAAATTGCTGATTTTATTCTATTTCAAAACACATACAATTATTTTGGACTAGGCACAATGAGTCTGATTTCTGTTTCAACTTGGTGTAATTATAACCGTCCGTTCATGTGTTGAACTTACATCAAAGGGTAATTTATTTTGAGTAATAGCACATAATTCATCCTAACATACATAATTAGAAGTGAAATGCACCATGTGCCCAGCCTTTCTATCCAGGAAGAATGGGAAATGCAGACATTTGAATTCATAGTTGGTAGGAACTGCTCGATAACACAACTGGTAAAGATTAATCATCTACTGCAGTGCAACAGATCAGGCAATATTAAACAACCAAACAAAACTCATGCTGCTCAGCACAAAGGAACACAGTGGAACTTATACGTGCCAAAGCTAAATTAATTCCTGGTATGTAACTCTGCTGCAAAAGGAGAAAAAAAAAATAGAAGAAAACCACCAAAAGTGCTTTTGGGCCTTTGCTTCTGCAGCATGGGGTATGCCCAAAGGCCACAGGGCTATCAGAGAGAAGAGGCCGTGCAGGAAGGAAGGCTGCTACAGTGGCGCCTGTGTTTTTGGGCATCAGGAGATGTGGCTGGGTGCAGGTCCCGACATGGAAATCTCTTTGTAATCTGGAAAAAGTGAGTGGAATATAAATGATCAAAAAGCAAAAAGGTTTCCAACAGTGAAAGCATAGTGTTATGAAAAAAAAATGCTGCCTGGGAAATATGGTGGCTTATCTCCTTCAAATAAAATAAAAGAAATAAAAGAAATTTCACTGTGATAAAATGCCAGTGTTGTGCAGTACATGGCAAACAGGAGTGATTCTGAGATAATGACTGCTGACATTTCTAAGCACGTGCATCGCCCCAGTGGCTCTGCACAGTGTCTTGAGCAAGTGCTTCACTGCAGCTTTTGCAACTGATTTACAGTCTAATACTTCTGATTATATTCAGTGAATTTGCCATTTATCTTTGAATGTTTGGATTAAAATCCTTTTTATCCTGATCATTTATCCGTGTGTTGTTCAATTCTGCTTGGCTATCTGTCATTCAGATCAACACCGAAGTTTGGCTGTAGGAATAAAGCAGGGACACTTCTTTGCTTAGCATGAGGGACAAACATTACCATACCTAGGCATCCAGGGGATTTTCTCTCTTGGATTTCTCTGAATCCAAGGGATTTCAGAGAACAGAAAAGCTCCCCTTTCTTTTTCAGTGTTTTTACCATGGGACCATTGGCACACAAAGGAAAAAATGATTGCAACAAAAGGGTGAAGAGCTCTGAGTGGGACAAAGACCTCTTTTCTTCAATCCCTCAGGTGAAGAAAGTTTCTCTGAAATGTCTCTTCTCCAGCTGTCATCTTCCCTGTCTCCCACTTGGTTCTTCAACCTTCTTCCCGTTCCTCAGCACTGACCTTTTTGTTCCCAGTGCTTGGTGCCCTTGGTTTGAGCAGAAGCAATCCTTCACCAAGTGCACATGGCTCCAAACATCTCCACTTCTCAGCTGGAGAAAGAGAGGGGGGCAGAGAGTTTTTCCGAGACAACTGTGAGCAGAGGCCTGAAATGAAGAGCTACAAGGAACCAAAAGCAGTAACTACAAGAAAAGAGAAAGTGGTCTTAAACATTTTTCATACTCCAGTAAACATTTGGGCAGGCTTTGGAGGTAACTAAGAATTGCTCTGAGTTAATAAGGCTTCAGCAGTGCTTGACAGACCATTCTGGCAGCTGCCAAATTTTCCTCTGCCTAGTGTGGGCAGCACCCTCTTGGTTTTGTTGCTCTGCTGTTTTTCTGTTTTTTTTTTTTCTGTTTGTTTGTTTGAAAAAAGGCTCCTGAAGTTACTGTTCCTCTTTTTCTAAGATGTGTTGGATTTAAGAAATGTCAGGAGACTACAGGCCACAATCCAGGTCTCAGGAAGAGAGCCAGCAGCAAGAGGCAGCAGCATTGGTTTGAGCCATGTGGGGAATTCATCTCCTCAAGCTTTGCTCCTTTTCTCTTCACACGAGCTTCAATCTTTTTAAAAGGACTAGAAGGTTGTATTTATGTATATGCATACATGTGTGTGTATATACTTATTTTTAGATACAGACTGTTATTAAAAACTTTCATATGTGTATGCAGATACAACCTAAGAAGTTGTTATATATTAATCGTGGTTATTACATTATTACATGTAATAGGTGTTAAAAATGATAAGCTGGTTGTGTGTAACCTCAGTGTCAAAGCCACACAGGCAGGAAGCTCCTCTGCCTACCCCAATAATGAAATTGCTATTTATAGCAAGCATGTTTGTTTGTGTGCTGATGGTAAAGATGGAATAATGTATTCCTCAGGGTTATTCAAGGTTCACACAAGAATCAAAGTGCTTACACAGCTGCACCTGGACTGCTTCCCTCCTATTTGGCAGTGAGAGTTATCCTGGGCTCTGAAACAGTTTGTGTTGTTTGACATTAAAGTTAAGCACTGTAAACCACTATCAGCAACCTATAGCAAGCCATAATGGTAAAATGCACATTGTGCTGAGGAGCAGCCTCTATCCTCACTTGTAAGAATAATTGACTCACTGCAGATTGGGAAATGCAGGTACACTGTCTGCCTGGTTTTTAATGTCCCAGAGAAATGAGGAGGATTGCCTACTGCAATTGACCTGTTTCAGCAGGCCAAGGAAATCTCTATTACACAAACCACGATGGAGCAGCTTTGATTTCCAGTTTGCAGTTGCTACATAGTACTGGAAGCAAAGGAAAGGTGACAATCAGCCAGACCCCACTGCATTGCAGCTCTGGGGACACATAGGAACACAGTCATCCATCCAGCTGATAACGAGAGCACTGGCAGTGGCTGGCTTCTCACACTGAGGGCAGGCATTATCACCTGGTCTGTGTCATTGCTGGGAGCTGGCATGTCTGGCTGCTCTGTAGTCTCTACTGGCCTGGCCTGGCCAACATCATACCTTCACAGCTCCAACAAGGCTTCTGAGCTGACAGATGCTTCACCCCAACACTCACAGCAACCCACAGTCAGCAAAGCCTGCTGCCTCTCAGAAACATGGTGGGTGTGGGCTATAGATTGTTACCAGCACCATACACAAGTGCTGTATAGGACTATACTTAATTCTACTGGAAGGATAGACGCAGTACTTGCACTGGTATCAGTTTTCCCATGCTTGAGCTTTTTGGCATAAACACACAGATTTACAATAGGAATTTAAAGCATCTCTTAAGCCTCAGCTGATAAGAGCAGTTAAACACTGCATCTGCACACAAAGAAGTCCAGTACTGTGCAAAACCCTCACCCCCTTCTGGGACTGTTATTGCAAAAAACACTGACATTTCTATTAAAAAAAAAAAAAAGAAAAGAAAAGATTTTCCTCTGAGTAGATCCTGCTTTTGGAGCAAGGAATTTTTCATACAAGCCTGTCAGAAACATAAGTTTCAAGGTTTCTCCTGAACCACATTTGTCCGCATTATGATGTCTCCATGATGTCTGACAAGCCAGATTAGATACAATAGCACCTCAATACAGAGCAAATCCCCAAACATAATTAGATTAGAGCATCCTGAAATGTCTTTGGAAACTGATATCCTCTCCTCCCCATCAGCCACTCACTAGCCACCTACATTTCCAAATTGTTTACAAGCATTTTAAACAGCAGAGCCCAGTGTAGATCCTTAGTGGGATACTACTCTACTCTGAAAAAAAATGAACTTTTTTTCCTGCCTTTTATCTCTATTTGCAGCTTGCCTTATGCTGTATCTGGAGAAGTCTGTGACATGCTAGGGGAACACCGGCAGGGCCAGAAGATTTCAGGTAGAAACTGCCCTTATCACACAGCAATACAAAGCCATAGGGAATGAACAGATTGAAAGGAGCGCACTGACTAACAATTCCTGGGAAGAGAGAAGAGCATATCCCAGGAGTAGAGCAAGAATGTAAATTATTAGCTGTCAGGCCACAAAGCCATCACATTAATCATATGTAAGCATCAAAGACAACTATTTATATATGTGATGCAATATCAGTAAAATAACAACAATTACCTGCTGCCAATCTCTAATGAAAGCTGGCACAGTGGTCCGTTGAACATTCTATCTCATCACTTGCTTATGTGGTCACCAGATTCCTGTTCTTGATGTAAATGTCTACTGAACACCTTAAATGAGAAACAGAAAAGTGCAATACAACAGATGTTCAGAATCCATGTCAACGTGCACACAAGAAAAATGAAATGCATGCTAAGGGAAGACATAGCATCATCTTACATATAAACACCAAGTGCAACAAAATGTCCTAAGCATCTCATAGAAATAGTGAGATGCTATTTCTAAAGTTTACTAAGTTTGAAAACCAGTTTTCTTAGAGTTTGGAAAGAATGTTTTGAAATGTGAAAGAAAGGAATGGGAAAGTGGATTGGGGGAGAAAGTAACATTTTATCATCTATACAGTATCTTAAAGGAGATATTCTCATCCATCTTGCTGAAGGTTTTCATGTTCACAGAATCATTTAGGTTGGAAAACATCACTAAGATCTAGTCCAAACATCAGCCCATCCCCAACATGCTCACTGACCACGTCCCTCAGTGCCACATCCACACAGTTACTGAACACCTCCAGGGACAGTGACTCCACCACCTCCCTGGGCAGCCTGTGCCACTGCAGCACCACTCTTTCTGAGAGGAAATGTTTTTTAATATCCAACCTGAACCTCCCCTGGGGAAACTTGAGGCCATTCCCTCTCATCCTATCGCTGTTACCTGGAAGAAGAGGCTGACTCTCACCTCACCACAGCCTCCTTTTCAGTCTTTGTAGGGAGCAGTGAGGTCTTCCCTGAGCCTCCTCTTCTTCAGACTGAACAACCCCAGCTCCCTCAGCTACTCCTCACAAGATTTGTGCTCCAGACCCTTCATAGCTTTGTTGCTCTTCTCTGGACGTGCTCCAGGGCCTCGAATATCTTTCTTGCAGTGATGGGCCTAAAAGTTAACATGGTACTTGAAGTAGAAGTAGCAGAATGACATCTGTTATTAGATAAACGCAAACTGTGCTTTAGTGGGATTTTTTTTTTTAAAGTTGGTTAAAGCCTATCCTCTGACCTCACCAAAAGCTGATTCCTAGCTCAGCAAATGCAGAACACAGAGGCTGAAGGAATTCCGGTAGAATTACATTCATAAAAAATACCAAGCTAAAATCCCTGGAATCGTCCTTCAAGATTTTAGAGATTCCAGGAAGACTTTCCAGGTTGTGCCTGGCAAAAGAGCAAAAGCATTTCAGTAAAAGCAAGGAAGGAGCTCCCTGTATTTGCCTCCAAAGCTTCCTCCTCTCTGCCTTCATCATATCCTGCTCACACTAATGAGCACCAAAATACAGGAAAGAAAAAAGTAATTGCTAAAGGAAGCAGCACAACAGAAGTGCTCATTCACAGAGAAGAAGTTACAGGACAGAAAAGAATGACTTTTCTTCTGGAAGTACATGGTGTGTAGTCTCTCTCTGCAGCACTGTACTTTAAGGCTATCAGTCACATTCTGTTGCTCTCTTCCTCTTTTAAATTCTCCCTTTGCAAGTATACCTGTTGTTCTACACGATCATGCTCATGAGGGTCATGCCCCAAAACAATGGGCTAAAAGAATTAAATTATCATCTTCTTCATTTGACACTACAGAAAAAAATGAGGGGTACAGAAATACTACCTGAATAGTTTTTGCTGTGACAGTGAGCCTCATTAGCCTTCTGCTCATAAAGCCAAGTGCGTGGTCTCTAAGAAATGTCTGGCACTGGAGTTTATGTCTAATACCTCACCAACAGGCTGGCAAGTACAGTGGAGGAAAGATGTAGGGGAAAACTGTAACAGCTCCTCAAAGACCACATCCCAAAGCTTGCTTTTAGAGCTTCTGTCTGCAGGCTGTACAGTGTGCCAGCAAGAGAGATGATATATGCATGCAAACAATCTCCAGACACAGAAGTGGTTTGAGGGATCACACGTTCTCCCAGAAGAAAGCATCTGCTGTCAGCTTTGAAGACGAACCTTGTTTATCAGCTGGCTGAGCAGGTGGCTTTGGCATTTACAGATAGGGTCAGAGATACAGCACAGCCCCCCTCAGAAGTATATACCTCCCAGACACTACTCCCTGATCATGTTCATTGTTAAACACTGCAGTCAGTGCTAAGCAAAGCCAGATGATTCTTCAAGCTCTGAAGAACGCGGCAGCCACAGCAGACATATCCCCAGCAGATCAGAGAGCCCCAACCCCGGCTCACACAGATTCACTTCCAATCCACCCAAGAGACACTCACTTCTCAAAAGCTATTGAATTTTTCAAGGCGGCTCACGGTTTTCCTCTCCTTTACATTGCTGCCTGCTTACTAAGCCGCAGATCTGCGTGTTTGAAAGATTTATAATTTAGCACATCGACTTCACACTGTATTACCTGATTGAAAATAAGATTTCCCATAACGTGCTTAGAGGAAAACTGATACCATGCCAACAGAAGACAACAGCAGGCTGTTATCCCTCTGGTGTAAAATAACTAATTGCACATCCACAACAACTTCTCATGTCCAAATAAATACTTCGGTGAATGTAATAATGTAAAACACTTCTAAACCCACACTTTGTTTCTTACGCTACAGGTTGTTTAAGTCTATCTTACTTGAATGAGGGAAGAGAAAAATAAAAAAAAGAACAACTTTCTTAAAGCTAAAGGTCGGACTTCTAAAAGTCCAAGTTGAAAGAAGTAGTGCTGAATTAGAAAGTGTCTTAAAATACTTTCTCCAATGCAGCGTGAGTCCTTGGAACTCCATGCAGACAATAGTAGAGAGATTATCATATTATGTATGCTTGCAAATGACACCCCTGATTACAAGAAAGTATGGAAATCATAGAATCATTAAAGATTCTATTAAAGAAGAAAAGACCTCTGAGATCAAGCAGTCCAACCGTCTACCAACCACCAATACTGCCCATTAAACCATGTCCCTTATTACAATATCTGCACATTTCTTGAATGCATCCAGGGACAGTGACTCAACCATCTCATTGGGCAGCACATTCCAGTGTCTGACCATGAAGTATTTCTATCTGGCACCACTTTCAACTCACTGATAATGTAGGAAAAAAAGCACCAGCCACACTGAGAAGTGACCCAAATACCTGGATGGTAGAAGCAGAACTGAAGGCAATGAAGAAATCAGATCTGGGAAGCAATCCACAAGCACAGGGCCTCCAGGTCCTTTGGGCCTCAGGAAAGCCAGGAGGTGAAGCCAGGAGAGGAGCATGGTGGGACAGCAGCATCTCCTCAGCACATCTCCTTTCTTGAGACATTTTGCTTTTAACAACAGCTGAGTTCCTAGAAAACATCTCTTGCATACTACTGAGCCTTTGAAATACAGACAATCTTGCTAATAACAATTAAGAGCATCATAAAAGTCATGAATTCTTGAGCCAGAATGTCAGCTTTGTCTTCCTTAGCTCTTACATGAGGTCAGTCATGCAGCTGTGAGACAGATATCCCATACTAGCAAACAAACAGTCATCCCGTAGTAACGCTGCAAATATGTTTACTTAGCTAATACTGCAAAGCCTGATCTGTGAGAGTGCTACAAATACGAGCACAATTTAACATACTGAGCTCTTGTATTGCCACCTCGTGGCTAAAGAACGTATAACTTCACTTTGGTGCGAGGAGGAGAGGCGATACGGAATCCCTCATACTGCACAGCGATCTGATAAATGCCAACATAAGTCAAAATAGCATTTTAAATTGCAGTTATACTTAACCATCATATTTCTCAATTGAATAAGACTCTTCTCCTCAAGAAAGATGTACCAAGTAAAAATTTAAGTGTGAAGTGAGAAAAGAAGTTACCACAACTGGTGTGACACGTTGGCTTTCCTTCTGGTTAATTCCTGTAAAAGTTTCCAAAGCTCCTGGCCAGTGTGAAACTCAGTAGGGACAGATGACTGTGTTTTATGGCAAATAAGACCTTCTTTTGAGAACTAGATCCCACAGCACTGTGGTGGCCAAGTTTGACTATGCCCATCTTTGCTTGAGAGCAAGGAAAGGCAAAGGCCCTGTGGGCCCCATACAGAATGAGGAGGAAAACACAGGACGAAGGGTGCACTTGAAAGTCAGTGACATCTGTTCAGTTACTTCAATTTGATATAGCAGTTCCCTGGACTCTCCAAGAAATTTCCATCACACCACCAGGGTGCTTGTATACATGAGATGGCAAGCTATGGGTGCCTCAGCTTTCATACACAATTTCATAGTACTGCTGGTACTCCTTTCCATCAGTGTCAGCATCAGACAGATGGGATAAAGGATTCATGCTGAAACAAATCAGTTGGAAAAATAAAATCCTAATTCTCACTATTAGCTCTTGTTAGTTCTTACACTAATCTGCATTATCTGCCCAAGCATGTTGCCATGAAAACAATTATCTTTTCATCCTATTTATCACAAGAAAGGCTAAGCTTTTACAATCAATTCTATACTTTTTTGTGCAAGTGCTCATAAAATGCCTGCAAAAAATCATTTTCTTACAAGGCTAAGATAAATGGCTTTATAATTTATGGGAAAATCACACAAAGACATGACGATTTACACTAAGAAGGCTCAGCACTTTGATCAACTCTAACTGTACCCATGTTTCTACTTAGGCTCAGCTTGTCTTTTAACAGGACTCAGTCTTGAACATTTCCTTCTTGTTACATTACTGGGATGCCATAATACAGTCAAGAGATATCCCCCTGGGCTTTGCCTCATTCTTTTAAGCGAATAAGTCTTAGAACAAGTAGTTTGACAAGTACCATGTTGTGAGTGATGAAAAGGTCACCAAAGATCTCTCTCGAATGCTGCAAGCAAATATTTTGTTAGCAATCAATACCAACTTGTAAGTGACAAGGAGGAAAAAAAATATATCTGCACACAGACACTGTGCAATTACTTAGATTTCATTGTCATTAACTTTTTAAACTGTACATTATACACATACACATATAGACAATTCAGTGATTAAAAAGGCTGGCATCTGACATTTATAAGCATTGACTCTGATAGGAAAGTCTGACAGTGTTGGCTGGAAGAAGCCTCTTCAGAAGTGCAGCGCTCTTTACAGATTTCTCCTACACAAGTTTTTGTTCCATCTCTGCCAGAATGACAGGTATGCACCTAGCAGACAGGGTCATAACTACAGTGCGATTATGTTTATGATTGTTTTGTGCATTTGTACATCACCCAAGGAGAAATACAGCAGTTTAAAGGAGAAATATACAACTTTTCATAGAATAATAGTATGGTTTGGGTTGGAAGGGACCTTTAAGATCATTTCCAACCCCATGCTATAGGCAGGGACACCTCCCACTACATCAAGTTGCTCAAAGCCTGAACCAGCCTGGCCTTGAATGCTTTCAGGGAGGGGGTATCCACAACCTCTCTGGGCAACCTGTGTCAGTGTCTCATCAGTCTCACAGTAAACAATTTCTTCCTAATGTCTAATCTAAATCTACCCTCTTCCAGTTTAAAGCCATTTCCCCTTGTCCTGTCACTACAAGTCCTTATAAAAAGTCCCTCCTCCCTCCTGTAGGCCCCTTCAGCTACTGGAAGGCTGCTATAAAGTCCCCCCAGAGCTTTCTCTTTTCTAGTCTGAAGAGTTCCAGTCTCTCAGACTGTCCTTGTAGGAAAGGTGCTCCAGTCCTCTGATCATCTTCATGGCCCTCCTCCGGACCTGCTCCAACAGCTCCATGTCCTTGTGCTGGGGGCTCCAGAACTGCATGCAGTACTCCAGGTGGGGTCTCACAAGAGCAGAGTAGAGGGACAGAATCACC